TGTTGGATTCTGAGGCTCGGATAGCTACATCAAGTTCTACGCCTCCTCACTGAACCCTACGGCCCCACAGAGCCCTTCAGAAGAAAGACACTTCATGGGACGGTACGGTTTCCTGTCTCCCCAAACCCTACTTAAAGGCTCATGGGACTTAGTAAGCAAGGTTGTAAGTATAGGTTATAATTAGTTAGGATAACCCCACTGAGGGGACTTATAACCCCAATGAGAACCCACTTACCAAGTCCCATGATCCTCTAAGTAATGGCACGCTGCGACCCCTTGATTTGGTTTAGGGTTTAGGGGGGATATATTCAATAAAGCAGTAGCTGGCCAAGTATCCCAAGTATTCACTAGTACTTGGTGTGGAAGACACATGGGAGCAGCTTTAATCCCCCGGAACCCTTAGAGACCTCTTTTACAGGAACCCCATTCCAGTCATGAAGGCCCCTAAATGGACCCCAAATCCCGAAAACCCTGAAGCTTTCGACTTCAGAGCTTATGGTTTAGAGTTGGTTTAGAGTTTAGGCTCTACGGTTTAGGGATGTTAAACCCTAGACCCTAAACCCCTAAATCCTAAGCCCTAAACCCGAAACCCCTAACCCTAAACCCTAAGTTTAGGGGGTAAGGTTTAGGGTTTAGCAGGCCCAGGCCTTCAGGGTGTTTTCGACTCGATGAATGGCATGAGTGTTTTAGGGTTTAGCGTTTTAGGGTTTAGGGTTTAGGGTTTAGGGTTTGCAAGTGTTTGAAGAACACAGGTGCTGCTCAGCGCGAAGACCGGCTTCGCAGCTACGTTGATCAAGGCCGAGGGGTGAGCCTGAGGAAAAAGAGTAGCGCGCCATACTGTGCCGTTCGTCTGCACATCCAGTTGCGCTACGACCTCACAGCCTTCAGCAGATCAGTCATTGAGCCATTCCTACCGTGCACTACCCCGTCCCGGGGCGTGCATGGTAGCGGAGCCCTGCAAGGGCTTCCGGAGCCAGTTTTGATCCAGGGACCTCAAGCGACTGTACGATACGGCTCCTACAGTCGACAACATGACCGGGACGGATGATGCAGGCGGGAGGAATGCCCTGCCTACGTGGAATGGCGATGCAGCCACCTTCCAGGAGTACGAGGAGGCGTGTCTCCTATGGGAACAGGCCACAGCGTGGGAGAAGCGCTACTTGTGTGGCCCCAAGTTGGCTGCAGCTTTGACGGGATCCGCCAAGAGACATGTCTCAGGCAAGAACCCCAGTTGGTTGTCACATGGTCGCGGGGTGAACGACCTCCTCAACCACCTGAGGAGCAGTCTGGGCAGGCCTCAAGTCTCCGACTTGACTGATCATTTGAGCCGCTACTTCAAAGGATCGAGGCGACGATCAGGAGAGAGTGTCAATGACTACATATCTCGGAAGTCCGAGATTTACCTCCGGGCTTGCCAGGCTCTGCAAAGAGTCAGTCCTCTTCAGAAGACCAAGGCACGACCAAAGGCCAGTGGGACTGGGTGGAACACACCGACGTGGAGCCGGAGGACAAGTTATGATGCTGGAGACCGAGGCGAGACTGTCGATGCGGAGGCGGAGGACGGAAGTGAGGAGAATCAGCGGTCCGAGCAGGACGCAGGAAGCTGGCGGGATGACCAGTGGTCCAACCGATCCAGTTGGGCCAGTGGATGGGGATCCAGCTGGTGGGGCTCCCAGTGGTCGTGGTCGGCGTACCAGGCTTACGACGGCTATGCGACCGAGCCCAGCACCCCAGAACTCCTTCCGGATTACGTGCAGGGGTGGTACTTGTTGCACGACTCAGGACTTTCAGGCCAAGAACGGAATGTGGTGCAGACGGCGCTGCAGGGCGACTTCTCAGTGGCTCGAGTGGCCCAGGAGCTTCGAAATCAATGTGCTGTCTTGGACAGCCAACGCCGAGAGTATGGAGCTCGCGGCAGTGGCTACCTCAGCGACGTCCAGGATACGGAGTTCGAGGAGCCGGAGGCCATGGATGACAGCTTCCTCGGAGACCTCCCCGAGGCAGAGATGGAGTCTTGGGAAATGGCCGAGAACGAGGCCCAAGAGGCGATGGCAGTTTTGCACCAAGCAAAAAGAACGCTTCGGGAGGCGCGACAGCGCCAGAACAGCGTTCGCCTGTCGCGACAATACTTCAGGACCAATGCCGGCAACCACTCCAACAGCGGTGCCAAACCGCGTGATGATAGCAAGATCCATTGCTTGCGATGTGGGCAACTTGGCCACCGCGTAGCCAATTGCCCCCAACCAGTACAAGCACCTCAGGCCGCCAAAGTTGCAGAACCAGTGGAGGCTACCTCATCATTCATTTGCTACCACGAGCTTTTGGAAGAGCAGAGCGCCATGTCCTCAGAGGTCGAGACTGCGTTCATGCAGGGAGTGAGCACGGCGGACGCCGTATCCCAAGGAAAAGCAGTGATTGATGGCGGCGCCACTCGGACTTTGGCATCCTGTGCAGCAATGGAGGCTATCATGGCCTTGAATGCACAAAAGACCGGCCGCAATGGGCTGCTGAAGGTGGACAAGAAGGACTGTCCCGTCTTCGGCTTCGGCAACGGCGAGACCAACAAGTGTACGGCGACGGTACAGTTGGCCATCCGCGCAGATGAAAAAGCAGGAGCCTTGACAGTCCATTGTCTTGACAAAGGCGGTGGTCCACTACTTCTCTCAGTGGACACATTGCGGCGATTACATGCAGTTATAGATTTCAGTGAGGATTTAGTTTGTTTTAGGGCTCTGGATGCTAACAAGTTAATCCCTCTAGAGCGGTCCCAAACGGGACATCAGCTGCTTCCAGTCACCGAAGACCTTTACAAGGAAAGCTTGCGCGCCAAAAGTGCGATCCCAAGCTTGAGGGATTATGTACAGCAGTCCATCTAGGGACAGCTCCTTCCTTCTCCTAGTTCCGAAGGAGATGGGAAGGGATCCGAGCCACCGGAACACGGGGTGAAAAACACTCTGAGCACTGCTGCCAATGGCAGCAACCTGGAGTTCAGGAGTGGAGTTTCGCGTAGTGTGAATGCTAGTTCTGTGTGTGATATGCAATTAGCAAATGAGTCTGTAGTGAAGCAAGCGACGACGACTACCAGTGGACAGCATGTGGCAACCACCTCTACCGCAGCTGCCTCAGTTCAAAATCGCGAACGAGTTGCTCCCCAAGGACTGCTAACAAGCTCTGTCCACGATGCCACGCATGACCAAGGAGAGCTTGAAGGCCGAGCTTCTTCAGGCTGGAGAGGAAGTTCCCACACGCTGGACCAAGATGGACATGGAACAGCGTCTCCGAGAATTACGCGAGCAAGGACTGGCGGATTCAGAGGAGAGCGGGAAGGGCAGCCTCTCGACCATGGAGAGCATGAACAAAGAGCTACGTCGGGCAGCCCGCAAAAAGGCTACCTTGCAGGAGTTCTGCCGCGAGACGCTGGGACTCAAGTTGACGGGGAACGAGGTGATGTCGGTCCTCGAGGGCAAGGCCTTGAAGGAGATCATGATGAAGACGCCTGCCGAGCCGGAGGACTATGTGGGGTTCGGCCGCTTCAGCAAGGAGCGCTACCAGACGGTGTTGACCCAGCAGGCGGACTATGCGGATTGGGTGGTGACCACCTATCAGGAGTCCGGGGAGGACGCCGTGGATGCCCGACTGGCCCGTCTGGCCAAATGGCTTATCCAGCAGAAGAAGGTGCAACGCGGTCCAGCGAAAGAGCCTTTCCCAACCAAGGGCTACATGCTGGAGCGCAAGGGCCTGGGCAAGGCAGCAAAGGGAAGCGAAAAGTACGTTTCCAAATCCCGGGGGAGCCAGGATGCAGCGGAAGATGTGGATCCGGATGCGAAGGCGAAGGATCGTCAGATGGCAGCGATGGCCGAGACCCTGGAACTCCTCCGGGCGGAGATGGCGGAGCTGAAGGCCGAGCGCCCTCGGAAGACGGTGGCCAAGGCCGACGACGAGGGGACGACGGACTCCTCCTTCAGCATGATGTGAATGGGGTAGACGGTATGCTTTCGGAGCACGGAGATATGAGTGCTTCGCAGCGCCTTAGTCAGGTTTTGAAGGCCTCGAGGATGCAGGCCCTCAGTGAGTCTAAGGCTCGATCTTTGGAGGCACAAGCGTGGGCAGTAGTGCCGAATCTTTTCCAAAACTTGGTGAGTTACAACAGACCTTGCCTACTGGAGTGCAGCGAACAAGAAAGTAGCTTGATGCAACATGTCCGAGCGCAGTGCAAGCAAGACAGTGCAGCGTCGCATTGTGCCACTTTCAATGGCTGTGAGCTCGACACTGATGCGGGAGTGCGATTGATCATGCAGCGCATTGACCTTGAACAACCTATACATGTGTGGCTCAGACCCATGAGTAGTCCCTTCTCCCCGAACCAAAACCGGAATCAGCGAAGTGAGGAGCAGAGTAGGTGCCTTAAGGAGAAGCGACAACAAGCTATCAAGGCGTATGTAGGTGCTTCTTGCGTTGTCCACCATGCACTTCAGAAGGGGATACATGTCACTTTGGAGATTTCGGACAATTCGGAAGCTTGGCGGTTACCGGTGTTGAGTAGGCTTCAGAAAAAGTATGGCTTGTACGAAGCCACGACGAAGGGTTGCCGGGTGGAATTGAAGGATTCAGAAGGAATTCCGGTTCAGACCGGGTGGCGAGTTCTCACCACCCACAAGCGCTTAGCCGAAGAACTTCAGTTACCCTGTAGATGTCCTAAGGGCGCTGTTCACGGGAAACCGGGAAGTAGGACGGGAACTACGAAGTGGGATTATTCGGAAGCGTTTGTTCGGAGGGTTGTGAGGGTTCTGCTTCAGGAATTGACGTATCAAGAGACGATGCGCGAGTGTCAAGGGAGTAGCTTGTTGTGTGAGGGTTTTGGCGAGGGCGAGTTTTGCACTTGTGGGGAAGTTAACTTGCCTGGCAAAGCCCGAACGTGTCCTTGTTGTTTGCTTGGTAGAGAAGCGATTCCCCAACAACAAAGTTCGAAGCCCAGGGAATGTTATACTACGCAAGAAACGATGATGGTGGATGCAGGACCCGAGGCCTTTATGTTGGGACCCCAAGGTGACGAAGACGATGATGATGGGATGAGCCTTGAGGCCCAGAACTGGTTCAGCGAGGCCCAAGTAGGAGAACTGGAAAACCAAGCTAGGATCCTCCTCGAACAAAAAGCCTTCCACCATCGAGCCTGCGCCAACCTCATCAAACAGTTGCCCTTCAAGCACCAAGCTAGGCATCGACAAGCTCTGAAGCAGGACAAGCCCAACTACATCATACTGGGGGTGTATGCTTACGGCAATCACTACGGTATCACCAAATGGGCTAGGAACCTTCCCCAGACCTGTAAGTACTTGTGGCAATACATCCAGCACTGGGCTACTGAGCCAGTTCGTGGAAGTACCCTGGTTATCAACAACAATTGCGAAGTGAACCTCCACAGGGATAGCAACAATCTTCCGAACACGAAGAACTACGTTATAGGAGTCACTCCCTTCCAACATGGAGAGTTATGGCTTGAAGGAGAACCCCCAAACCACCACTACAAAACCGTTGTCAAAGCTTTGCCTAACGGCCAAAGTCGCAGCGGACACTTGCGAAGTGTGCGACAGAGGGTGTTGGCGTTTGACGCCAGACAGTGGCACACGGTCCAGCCGTGGCAAGGGGATAGAGTCATACTTGGGGGTTACATGAGTCGGGGTGTTCGGGAACTTGAGAAGGAGGATATTCAGTGGTTGCAACAGGCCGGGTTTCCTTGTGTGCAGGGTGAAGAAGGTTTCCGTGAACAGGGCGTTCAGGGACAGGGTTACGTTGTGGATTCCACTCGAGCTAAGGTGGGCACCAAGGTGGAGGAAGAAATTAAGCGTAAGCTGTACCTGTTGCACGCGGCCACGGGACATGGAAGCACGAGGCACATGATAGAGGCGTTGCGACGTAGGAATGTGGATCCTTTGGTGTTGCAGTTGGCCGAGTCCTTTGAGTGTCCCATCTGCGCGGAACGGAAACGTATCCAACCTAGACAGTTGGCCTCGTTAGAACCCTTACCTCCTAAATTTCACACTGTTGTGATGGATATCGGACACTGGAGATGCCCTCGAAGCGGTGAGCAACAAAACTTCATACTTGCCATTGACGAAGGTTCAAGATTTAGGAATGCCAAGATATTGACCAAAGGGTCAAAACAAACCCCCAACTCAGCGGCATGTCTGAACTACCTTTCGGAACATTGGATACAAGTATTCGGGAAGCCAAAGACCCTTCGCCTGGATCCCGCAGGGTGTTTCCGATCAACGGCCGTGGAAAACTTCTGCGACCGGCACGATATCTACATGGATGTGATCCCGGGAGAGGCGCACTGGCAGATAGGGATTGCAGAGCAAGCCATACAGGGAGTGAAACATCTGATGACCAAGCTACATGAGCATGATTCGGAGTTGACGCCGGAACAAACTTTAAGCTTGGCAGTGGCAACCTTCAACCAGAGAGAGCTCATCAGAGGTTTTTCACCAGTACAGCATGTTTTGGGGCAGTCACCAGACATCACGGAGCGCCACATCCCGAACCTACGACAGCAGTTGGAGGAACCCATCCTCAACAACACAACAGAAGAATTCAAGAAGGAAGCAGCGCGAAGAGCAGCTGCTGAAAAGGCACTGTGTGATTGGCAGGCCCAACAGAGGGTCAACAGGGCTATGAATTCTCGGACAAGAAAGCTGTGCAATTATAGACCGGGCGATCTAGTGTATTTCTGGAGGACGCAGGAGTCCGGGCAGCATAAAAGAAGTCCAGGCACGACCCAGGGCAGGTTCCTTGGACCGGCGAGGGTACTTGCTACGGAGACTCGGCAATCAGCCGAGGGAGAGGCAAGGCCAGGACATGCTATTTGGTTGGTCCGAGGGCGCAACTTACTGAAGTGTGCGCCAGAGCAACTCCGACCGGCAAGCCACAGAGAGGAGTTACTGGACTCCCTCTCACAGGAAGGGTCCACACCGTGGACTTACACCAAGTTAGCCGCAGAGATTGGAGGGAACCAATTTGAGGACATCAGCCAAGAGATCCCTCAAGAATCCGAGTGGCAGCGAGCGCAGGATGTGACACAGGAGGCACCGCCCAGCCGCACCCGAGTGCGGGGCAAGCGTCCCATGCCAGTGGCTGAACCTACGGAGGACCTTGATCTGGAAGATGAGCCAGAGCCAAGTCAGCCCAGTCAGTTACGAAGGACGTCTGGTCCTACCGGGTCCAACCCGTTCGAGGCCGCGGCGACCACCTGGTGGGAGCAAATCCCCGAATCCGCCTGGATGGCGGAGGAGGCTAGCTACTGGACCGACAGCGCGGCTGCCGTGGAGGTAGCTGTGGACCTTCCTACCACAGAGAAAGAGTGGAAGCGCTTCGGGCAAGACGCGACAGCCTATGTTGCCGGAATGATCAAACGTCGTGCAGTGGAAGTCAGCGAGCGAAGGCTTTCAGCTGAGGATCAGCTGAAATTCAAGGCAGCGAAAGCTGTCGAGGTCAAGAACTTCTTATCTGCACAGGCCTTTGAGGCCCTACCTTCACATCTCAAGCCGTCTCGGGAACAGGCGATAGGCATGAGGTGGCTGTTAACCTGGAAAGTCCAGGACGACGGTAGCGTCAAGCCAAAGGCTCGGGCTATCCTTTTAGGCTACCAAGACCCGAGCTATGAACATAGGTCAACCACAGCTCCCGTCATGACTCGGCAGACCAGGCAGCTCTTCTTGCAGGCCGCTGCCAACCGGAGATGGCGCATCCAAAAAGGGGACATCTCAGGGGCGTTCCTTCAGGGTAGGACTTACCCTGACGAACTGTTTTGCGTGCCATGTGATGAGATCCTTGAAGCTATGCAATTGCCTCCTGGCACAATCACCAAGCTCAAGAGAGCATGCTACGGATTAGTTGACGCTCCTTTGGAGTGGTATAAGACCGTTGCTGAGTTCATGGAGAGCATTGGCCTCACGAGATTGTGGAGTGATGCTTGCGCTTGGGTGTGGAAGCCTGAAGGGCAGGTCCGAGGGATGATTACGGGGCATGTTGATGATTTCATGTTCGGTGGCGCTGATGATGACAAAGGGTGGCAGGAGATTTTGAGGCTTATTAAGGAGAAGTTCCGTTGGGGCAATTGGGATCAAGATTGCTTCACTCAATGCGGAGTCTTGATTGAGACGACAACGGAAGGCTTTGCCTTGTCCCAACCAAGGTACCTTGACAGCCTCCAAGAGATCACCTTGAACAGTACTCGGAAGAAGCAGAAGAATCATGAAACCACTGAACGTGAGAAATCACAACTAAGGGCTCTCCTAGGCGGGCTCAGCTGGTACGCTCAACAGACCGGACCTCACATCGCTGCGGAGGTCAGTCTACTTCTTTCGGATGTTTGCAAATCAACCATTGAAACCATTAATCAGGCGAACCTGTTGTTGTACCATGCCAAGCAGAGGAAAGATCACAAGCTTGTGGTGCACCGGTGCAGCGACCAGGATATGCAGTTTTATGCGTGGGTTGATGCCGCGAATCAGAATAGAAGGGACGGCGGAAGTACTCAAGGGATTTTCGTTGGGGCTGCTTCTAAGGAGATGTTGAAGGGCGCTATAGGGCATGTGAGTCCCATTGCCTGGCACTCATCCCGCATTGACAGGGCTTGCCGCAGTCCAGGTTCTTCAGAGACCCAGGCGGCCGTGAACGGGGAGGATGTCCTCTTCTACATCCGCTACGAGTGGGCGGAGATCATGGGCCGCGAAGTAAACCTACGTGATCCCTCGCGAACGGTGGCTACAGTGGACGGCTGCCTGGTGACGGACTCGAGGAATGTGTACGACAAGTTGCACACCGCGGTGCTCACGATCCAGGGAGCAGAGAAGAAGGCCAACATCGAGTTGCTGAGCGTCAAGGAAGCACAGGTCAATACAGGGCTTGTGATCAGGTGGGTCCACTCAGAGGCCCAACTGGCCAATGCTCTTACGAAGAAGGGCGGTCGGGAATTCGAGCTCTACTACAAGATGAACTTCACATGGCGTATAGTTGAAGATCCCAGTATGCGATCTGCGAGACGACGACGAAGTGAAGGGATCGACACCTTCGAGCAGACTCATTTGCCAATTACTTCTGTTACATAGTTTCCGGAACTCCAGGAAAGCGGGGCATGCAAGTGTTTGAAGAACACAGGTGCTGCTCAGCGCGAAGACCGGCTTCGCAGCTACGTTGATCAAGGCCGAGGGGTGAGCCTGAGGAAAAAGAGTAGCGCGCCATACTGTGCCGTTCGTCTGCACATCCAGTTGCGCTACGACCTCACAGCCTTCAGCAGATCAGTCATTGAGCCATTCCTACCGTGCACTACCCCGTCCCGGGGCGTGCAGGGTTTATGGCTTAGGGTTTAGGGTTTAGGGTTTAGTTTAGGGTTCAAGTAAGAATGGTGACGATGTTGCAGAGCGTGAGCGTGCTGCTACAGCGTTGGCCTCGGCAGCATGCAGTAGTTGCCTCGGATGGGGCTTGAAGTGTTGCGATCTACTGGTACCTTGTTACAATGGTTTAGGGTTTAGGGTTTAGGGTTTAGGGTTTACATTGTTTGCGCAGGCCGAAGGAGTTTGGATGAGCAGGGGGCAGAGATGAACCTTGGCGTGAACTTGCAGATGGTTCAATCGCATCAGACGGAAAATACATGTGCACCCAAGGGATGATCGTGATGGCAAATGCCAAGAGCCGAGTCAGCCGACGCCTTCCATAGAAGGCTGGACCTGAAACCTTCGTTGCGGCTCACCGCTTTAAGTGCTTAGACCAGGTCCGCCTGCCGGATGCAGCGCTGAGCATGGGGGTGTTCGGGGGGTGTGGGGGCCCAAGGGCGCAAACTTCCCACTTTGCTACGGGGCCAGGCATTAGCAAGCTGCAACGGGCCGCCCGAGAGGCGGCTTCCCCAGAACAGCCTTTGTGAAGGGGCGCTACGGATCGCTGGTGCCAGCATGCTGCTGGCACCCACTGTGCAAAGTTGCACGCAGTGTGTCGGAACCAGGGAAGCCAAGCCTTGCAACAGTCTTCACACGCAAACTACATCTCGGATTTCAACATCATTACAAAGGAACGAAGGAGACCCAATCTTAGCTGCGGAGAAGCGCTCCACTCCATCTGCTTCCACAGATGCAAGCGCATTCAGACATGCTCCAGCTCTTGCGGAGGCAACCTCCGCACAGCAAAACCAAGTCTTCGAATCCTTAAGAGATTTCCAGATTACAACAACTTTTTGTCTGACAGACGCTACTTGGAGGCCCAGGGACTTAGTAGTAAGTAGGTTATAAGTAGGGTTAAAGTTGGGGTAACTCCATTTAGGGTACTTATAACCCTACTTATAACCTACTTACTAAGTCCCCTGGGCCTCTAAGTACCCTGCTCTTACCACCCCTAGGACTTAGAGTAGGCCTTATTCCCTTTATTTGCGGTTCAGGTTCCCTTATAAGCCCCTTTATACCAAAAAGGGCACCTTTTTTATTCCAAGGTCACTCTTAGGTCTACTTAAAGGCTCATGAGACTTAGTAAGTAAGGTTGTAATTAGGATAACCCCACTTAGGGGACTTATAACCCCAATTATAACTTACTTACTAAGTCCCATGAGCCTTTAATAGACCCCGTGAGGACGATGTTCCGACCGCGACTCCGCCTCGAAAGCAGGCCTCCGACGCTTCGGGTTTGGCTGTTAGTGTTTGGGCTGTTTTGTTTAGGGTTTAGGGGTTTAGGGGTTTTGGGGTTTAGGGGTTTTGGGGTTTTGGGGTTTAGGGGTTTTGGGGTTTAGGGTTTAGAGTTTTTTGTTCAGGGCCAGTTCAGGGGGTTTCCAGTCCGCTGTGGACCTAGTGGCCCCGCCATAACCTACGACACCCAGCAGGATAGGAGAGGTTTTAGCAAAGCATGCTCTGAAGACGGAGCATGTACGGGAGTTTCAGCAAGGCAACCTAACATAGAACCTAAACAAGGGGATCCTCAATAGAATCACCACCCAAGCGAGGTACCCTAGTGTCCTGAAGCTTACAATTCAAGGCCTCCAAGAAGGAGTTCTACAAGAACCCTAAGGTTTAAGCCCTAAACCCTGAACCCCTAAACCCTTAACCCCAAACCCTAAACCCCTAAACTCTTGCACAATGGTTCCACAAGCGTTTCTCTACAGCCATCCAAGGCACCGCTCGGACGCATTACAGGTTCCGGCCCTTATCGGCTTAATGAGTCTCATGTATTTAGGTCCAATGTTTTCCGCATCAAATTTCTCCTCGGCGTTGAAGTGGGAACCGAAAGCAACTCAGGAGCAGTCTCACCTTCTAGATGAATGCCAGCCCCCAATGGAAGGACTTTGTGTTCCCGCACTAGCCCGACGCACGGTTACTCCATAAGTACCGGGTCTAAAGCCTCCGCCACCTGGTTGCACAGGCATTGATTGTATAGGGGCCATGCGGCAGGCTTAATCAAGCTTGCAATGCATATGAAGGTAATACCATTTCCTGGGGGTTTCCTTGAGGCTTTACAGAAAGCATACCGAACGACATCATAAATCCTCATGCCTACATTGAGCCGTGTAAGCAACCCAGTCACCCAGTCCTAAACAACCCCTAAGCCCCAACCGAAACCCTAAACCCTCGAGTCAACACACTTATTCAAACAAAACCTGACCCTAGACCCTATAAACCCTAAACAAAAAACCCTACACCTTTAGAACCACAGCCTGAGCCATTTCATATGGGCAGTTCTCTAAATTAGGGCCCCTTTTAGATCCAAATATAGTACGGCACCCTTACAAAACATGAGCATCAGAACCCTAAACGGCACCCTGATTTAGAGAACTACCCATAAACAAAAAGCCCTCTGCACCCCTTCGAGGCTCCTCGGAGTCCGGAGCCTCGCGCCGAAGCCCTCGGCGGTGCGCTGTACTGGCCTGGCGAGGAGGCTTCGACTGTCCACTAGGATGCCCAGTAGTACCCTTATAGTCCTAGGTTCCTTATAAAGTTACCCAATACCAAAAAGAGTGGCCTTTTTATTCTTAGGTTACTGGGTATCCTAGTCCATATCTGTATCTATATCTGTATGAGCATCTGTATCTGTGTCTCTATCTTCATATCTGTACCTTTGTGTCATTATGTATATACATATACATATAAACATTATCTGTCTATCTATCTATCTATCTATCTATCCGTATGTATATTTATATATAACTTGATGGCTTTATTGGGTGCTAGGGCTTCAGAGGGTTTCCTACGGGTCTCAGAGGGTGGAAAAAGGTTTTTCTATAACATTTCGTAGGAGTCCTCTAAGGTTGATTATGGGATTTATCATATTGGCTGTAAACTCAACTTTTCAACTTTTGGGGTTCTTATAAGGTAGTCGATTCTGGAAGTTTCAACTTGTATTCCCTTGGGTTTTGGGCCAGTGAGTCATGCTGTTTCATTAGAGACTTGCACGGTTTTACACGGTTGTATAGGGCTTTATCAGGCATATACTCGGTATTTTGACGAGGTTCTTGTACAGGGTGTTCGAGGGATGTTGTAGGGTTGTTAATGTAAAGTGTTTCACAGACCCTAAAATCTAAACCCTGCGCTCTGAAACCGTGGTGATGATGCTGTAACCCTAAACCCTAAACCCTAAACCCTGTTAGCGGTGGGGCCGCGTGGCCGCTGAGAGCTAAACCCTGAATCCTAAGCCACCTGCCTCAGGAGTGAGGAGGTTTGGAGTGAAGAATTATAGCACAGAGCCTGAGCTGAGTTTAGGGTTCAGAGTTGTTTAGAGTTTAGGGTTTAGGGTTTAGGGTTCAGAGTTGTTTAGAGTTTAGGGTTTAGGGTCTGGGTAGTTTCGAGATATTACATGACTATGAGGGGACTGCAGTAGGGATATTGCTACATACCGCAGTATACCTCTATTGGGACTACTGTAGTGGCCATACAGTAGCGAATCGATGCACCTGAGACAGGGTTCCCACCCCTCGGCCCCCCAGGGCAAGGGAAACATGGACAGAACTTAATCTACCCACCAAACAACTAGCTAAATCCCAAACCCCAAACCCCTAAGTCCTAAGCCATACCACAGAACTGCTTTTTACACGGTGGTGCAGGGCAACGCCGCGGATCGTCGTCGGTCGCCTCCAAGGTGGCCAACCCAGATGGGATCTGTTGTTATAGTGAACCCCAGAAAGTTGAAACGTGGTCGAAGGATGATAAGTGCGTCGTTTTAAAGATGTTCCAACTTTCTGGCTTACCCTAAACCCTAAATGGGTTGGTTCCACGAAGGCCGTCTTGTCTGGGCTTAAGAGTGTCGCACTTCGGAAAAGTCTGATGCAAGGTGCCCAAGGATTGGTATCCTGTACCCTAAATTATGAACCCTAACAGAATGGTGGTTGGACAGGCCTGAGCAAGAGGACTCGTGGCCACGAAACTCAAGCAAGCCTGTGTGATTCAATTTCTAGAGCAGCATCTAGCACTGTTCCATCAAACAACGTAGAATGTAGATGCTTAAACTCACGGAGTTCTGTTCTGCGGCCTCTCTTGTTGTCTTGCCTGTCCAGCCAAGACTACAGGATAAGTCGGCACTACTACAACCCCACTACAACTTAAACCCGCTTCAACCCCTCTAGAACTCATTATATGGCGATTCGACCCTCAACCCAACTCCCCACGCCCCAAAACCCCCAGCTTAAAAACCCGACAGTAACCTGATAGTGCTTTTCTTGAACTTGCAAAGGAAACCCCCTATATACCACTAAAGCCCCAAGCTCTAAACTCAAAGGCCCGGAACCCAAAACCCAAAACCCTAAACCCCCTGGACCCTCAAACCCTGAACCATAAACCCAGATCCTAAACCCCCGACACGCCAAGCGCAAAAGCCTTCAACCGTAAATTCAAAGCATCCCAGGTCCAAGCCTCCGACCGTGACGGCGTGCCGCCCAGCCATTAGGGTTTAGGGGCCAGGGTTTAGGATCTGGGATGGGGTTTAGGGTTTAAAGGTTTTGGGTTTATATGGGTTTAGGGGTTTAGTCAATCGAACAAATCAATACCAGCATTTATTCCTGAAGGTGTCACATTACAATTGGTATGCCAATTTCCTTTCAGGCCTCCGCTTATGGTCAAGTTTAGGTTGTAGAGTGTAATTTAGGGTTTGGGTTCGTTTTGGGTTCCTTCTGTGTGGGTGAGCTTCAAGGTGTCGTGTTGGGGTTATGTTTAGAGCTCTGCGTGGCCGCTGCCAGCCACATTGGACAGACCGCCGTCCAGGGCAAGTGGCCCGAGACGTTGTGGAAGACGAGAATGCCCTCCATGGAATGTTACGAGGACTACTTGTACCTCACACTAAATTCCCCGGAAACCTATATCTGAAGGGATGGACTGGTGATGTCGGTCGTCCCGAGCATGCAGGAGCCTTATAACACCACTATGCTCATCTGCTAAAATTTGTTAATTTGCTTGCTGAGGGACAGCTGATCGAGAAGTTCCTCACAGAGGAGCGCTCGCACTTTGGTTCCACGACTGCCGCTCCAGACTGCGAATCATCGGCCAGGGACAAGGTGTAGAATTGGCAAAACGCGCAGAAGAAACCGCCAGCGGCTGGCTGATCAGGGCACGCAATGGGGTGCTGGCCCGTAAAGCAGAACATGGGCGCAGTGTGAGAGCGCGAAGAAGTAGACGCAGAGAAAGCCATCGAGGCGGCCACCTACTCTGAAAAGACAACCGACTGATTTGGGGTTTAGGGCTTCAAGTTAATCTTAACTCGGGTTCAGAGACTAGAACCCGAAGCTTACGAAGTGGCCACAGGCAGAAACCCAACATCCTTGCAGCTTTTTTTGTGACACAAGCCCGACCCCGAAACCCCCTAAACTTCCAAATCGAGAACCCTCATCTTCCACATCGCCACCCTTTCTGCCGCAGCATCCTGCCAACCTTTACTTAGCCGTCGCCACAGCTCCGCTTCCCCAGATGAAAAGGAATCTACATGAACCATGAAATGTAGGATTTGAGTGCGCTGCTTTCGAACTGCTTAGACCCCGGCATAAGTCCTAAAGCCTTAACCCTGGAGGAAAAGGGCCCTCAACAAAAACGGGTACAGGGAAACCGTCAACCTTAAAACTTTCCGCGGAAATTTCGTAGTAGGGTTTGTAAGAAGAACCTACAAGACTGTAGGTTTTGGGTAGGTTGAGGTAAACCTTAAGAGCCTTTGTTAAACCGCAACCCTCCTAAACCCTAAGCCCCGAGCTTCTCTAAGCCCCGAGCTTCTCTTGAAAAGGCTCAAGAGCCGGAGTTGCCAAGCCGCTCCTATGTCCTTCCGGCCGGAGACAAAGCATCGGGTGTAGGCTTTGGTGTATAGGTCTTAGGGTTTAGGGGTTTAGGGTTTAGGGGTTACGGGTGTAGGTTTTAGGGTTTAGGGGTTTAGGGTTTAGGTGTTTAGGGGTTTTGGGTTCAGGGTGTAGGGTTTTTGGGTGACATACTATGCTTGTATTAGTTTAATACTACTGTATGTATTGTAATGTTATGTAACCCACTGCAACGCGATGTAATGCAATGCAATGCAATGCAGCACATGGTCTGGCCTGGCCTGGGTATAGGAATACACACAAGACATACCTGTTCACAAACAACACATGTCACAAGGAAGTAGAAGTTCTACTGAGGGCCCTTACTATAAACCCCTAAACCCTACACCCCTAAACCCGACACCCCTAAACCCTTAAACCCCTAAACCCGAAACCTAAACCCTTAAACCCTAAGGCCCTAAACCCTAAACTCTTAACCCCAAGGCTGGGGTCCACACGCTGAAGCCCTGAGCCTTCAAACAGCGAGATCTGAAATTCCAAGGCCCTGAAGGTTTCTCGGTTTAGGGTTTAGGGTTTAGGGTTTAGGGTTTAGGGTTCTGACCCTTACAGTTTTATTTATGCATTGATATTGGAGGAGCTACGGAGCCAGGGATGATGATAATCCCTATTAAATAAGGAGCTAAAGAGCCAACGGAACCCCCAAACCACGGGTTAGTTACTGTAGAGATCGGAATAAGTTCACCCTTTTGGAATTTTTTGTATGTACATATATACATATATGTATATATGTATATATGTATATATGTACCACCACCCCTTTTCGGTTGGTCAGGCGCCTATACGACACCCCTTAAGCCCTGCACCCCTAAACTGCTAACACTGCCAAGTACCAAAACCCAAACCCCAAGCGGAGCCCAATGTGTGGCCTAATGTCGAAGCCCCAACGCTGGCTTCGTGTTGCTGTGCATATCAAGCGCCCAGCGAACAAGAGGACCAGATGTTCAGGTCAGCATGAATTGGACATTTTGGATCGCATCTCTCAGGTTATCACGAAGTCTTTCATGTGGTTTATACAGCATAGAGGCCCCAGGAACGAGGCTTGCCCTTGTCTTGCTATTCAGGCCCATGTACGAGACCATATACATTTCTTAAACCACTATAATAATAACCCTATTACTTCGCCCTTTCGAAACCCCATGCCTTCCTATGACGCATCTATCCAAAAGCCCTATATGGGAGAATAGGGGACCCTAATATCGTACCCTAAATAGTAGGATCCTTATTAGAAGGACCCCACAATTAGGAATCCCTAATTTTCGGAAACTCCTATATACCGAAGATACCAGCAAATCATGTAGCAACCCCACAAGACGCAGTACAGGGCTGAGGCATTTCGGCTCGCAGCAGTGAGTCGCTTGGGTCGGCAGCAGCAAGCCCGCATCGGCGACTTGGACCACGCAATGAAAGGATTTCTAGTGGGTTCCATAGTCGGATCTTTTGGGATTTTCGCGAATTTACGAGGTTCGAGTTTGGGAAACATCTGGGCTCACGGTGAAGTAGCCAGGGGGCTGTACATGATGTCACTCATGTAACCTCTAAACTGTCTAGTCCACTCCGTTGCGTCCCTAAAAAATAGTCTATAGTATATAGTATATTATAGTATAGAGTTTATAGTATATAGTACCTAGTATAACGTAAATCGTATATAGAACTTGATGAGTGTCTTCATGGTGGATGGGTTGCAGGGATCCTGGAATGTCCATTTGTTCGACCCGTGTCGGCACGATCTGCGTGAGTGAGTGAGGGCTTTCATTAAGTTATCAGGGGGTATCACTAGTTTCATACTGCCGGATACTGTGGCATCCCTTGCTATGTCATGTAGTAGGAGTCAAACATACCGCGTGAGCCCTCCGCCTATACTTCCCCACCTGCATGCGCCATTTCCCGCGCCAAGTCATCAAATCCCTACAAGACTGCAGGACTTTATACTGTGCCTGTATGCAACTTATCATTTGCACCATAGACTCGCCACGCCTGCCCTCTGTAGTTTCTACAAAACCACCTGGTTATATGAATGTCCAAACAAGTGATTCGGCATGTGTTACACCCTCTGGTATGAAAGTTTGTCGAAATCGCTGCGATGCAAGTAAACAACACACCTGTATATGTGTAGATTGGTGACTAGTAGATAGACGTATGGGTGGCTGTCAAAATTATGGTCCCTTTTTGGGTACCCTAAATAACAGGTGCCGTGTTATAATAGGGACCCCAAAAAGGGACCATAGTTTTGACCACCACCCGTATGCATGGTTGCAGTGATATCTCTGCAGCGGGGCTCATCGCAGGGTAGATCCTGCGGGCTCATGGTCGCTCTTCCTAAACCCCTAAACCACTAAACCCTTAAACCCTAAACCCCTAAACCCTAAACCCCTAAAACTCCTAAACCCTAATCCCGTAAACCCCTAAACTCTAACCCCCTAAACCCTAAACCATCTTCAGGCAGCAGATGGAGAACTGGATAACTCCAAAGTTGCACAAGGGAACACGCGACACCTTACCCAGACTCCCGGGAGGACCCAAAAAGTAGATCCCTTAATGGGGTTCCTATAAAGTACCCTTTAGTAGCTGGGTCCCAAATTATGGGATCTACTTTTTAGATTCTCCCGTTAAGCACAGGCTTGACGACTTTGAGTGCACGGGCTTGAAACAAGATGGATGTTTCGCAATGACGGCTTCAAGAATCCCACAACCTTTCAGCCCTGAAGCCCTCAACCCGCAACCCAACAAGCACCCAAAATCGGAACTTTTCGAACCCTAAACCCATGAACCCCGCAGGATATTCATAGCACCCCTTACAGTGATACTTATGTATAAATTCGCAAAAAGCCTTCTAAACAATCCTGAAAGGAGCCCTTCCGAACTTCCAGGAAGCTCATAGAAGCCTAAAGCCCTACGGTTTAGGGTATAGAGTTTTTAGGGTTTAGGGTTTAGAAAGGCCCTCTAATAGAGCCCTTATGGTCCTTAATAGTGGGTATTTGGGGTATATTAGAGGGTAGTTGGGGGGTCTAGGATAATGCGAAAGAGGGATGTTTGTAATGTGAAAATCTTTCCGGCACTTGTAGTAGCTGACCCTCAGCGTCAATCCTTGAACCTTAAACCCTTACCCCTCAAACGGACCCTAAACCCTGAAGCTCAGAAACACTAAACGCTGACCGTTGAAGGAACCCCAAACCCTTGCCCTTGCGGGTTCGCCGCAGAGGAACCCCAAAAAACCTTTAAATTTCTGCCATAGCCAAGGTCCCTAAAGGGAGCCCTTTGCGTCCTAGCCATGCTGCGCGTGATGGGCGCCCGGGCATCTTATGTTTAATGAATCCTTTAAGGGGACCTCTATACGAAGAAATCTACGGAGTTTTAGGGTGGCAGGCTCATTAGGGTCGGAATAGGGTTGTGGCATTACGCTCAAGCGTTTCTACTTGTTTTTTGGCATGTTATGAGGTTGTTGAAGGGCTGTACAGTGTTTATGGGCTTAGGATTAGGGGTTGAGAGAGGGAGAGCTGCATGGAGTTTGAGTTCAGAGCTGTCTCAAGAGAGTTTAAGGTTTAGAGTAAACGGTTTGAGGGAGAGGCGATTTCAAGAAACAGAGGTTTCATATAGCGGCCCTGAGGTTGCCCGGTATATATGTAGTCTAAAACCCGCAAATCCTAGGTCTTATTACTCAGGCACCTACATTAGGTGTCGTTCGCTATTAGAGTGTATATTGTTGTCCAGGTTGCGGGCTTTGCGGGTCTACTGATTATAAGGTAAAAAACTAGGATGCCCAGTAGTACCCTTATTCCCTTTTTGTAGTCCTAGGTTCCTTATAAAGTTACCCAATACCAAAAAGAGAGGCCTTTTTAGTCTTAGGTTACTGGGTATCCTAGAAAAAGTTTTGGGGTCGATGGCTTTATAGGAGGACTGCCCAGAGTCCTCCCTTGTTCTCAAGCTGGGTCAATCCTGTGGCCCTTCATAATTGGAAGAGCGTTTCGGGTGGTCTATTGTAGTATTGTTGTGTGTATATGTATTTAACTTTGTGTAGGGTTTCAGGTCATACTATGGTACAACTGTTCTTCGGAACCCCCTAAACCCTAAACCCTAAACCCTAAACCCTAAACCCTAAACCCTAAACCCCTATACAAGCACTGACTTCAGCCCCCTGCATTAGGATCCGGGTTGCCGGCACCAAGGATTGACAGTGGTACCGCTGATTACATTTGTTTCAGGGTTACTATAGCGGCCTACATGATTCCCAATTATTTTCCTCATCTAGGATGCCCAATGGTACCCTTATTCCCTTTTTGTAGTCCTAGGTTCCTTATAAAGTTACCCAATACCAAAAAGAGAGGCCTTTTTATTCTTAGGTTACTGGGTATCCTAGTTATAGTTGCATTACATCTTTTAACTATTAAGGCCCCAGGCCCCTACACTGGTGCAGTCCATCCCACGCTTGGGGCTCAGGCCAGGCCGTGCTACTTCTATCAAGGGGCATTCAGGTGGTCTAGGGTTTCGGGTGGTTTAGGGCCGTCTTTCAACACATCCCATAATGCGGTCTACGGATTCCCGCTGAGTTTGCAGGCGGTCTTAGAACATATCCCATAATGCGGTCTACGGATTCCCGCTGAGTTTTCAGGCTGGTTTAGAGCTTAGGTTTTGGGTGTCAGGCTTCAGGGCAGTGCCAGTCGTGGGTTTAAGGTAAAAGCCAGAAAGTTGGAATATGATTATCCTAACCCTTGTATGGTAAATTATAGGGTATCCTACCATGAAACCATATTCCAACTTCCTGGAGTGGAGGTTGGGCTGTCGGGTTTAGGGTGCAGGATTTGGGCTTAGTTTAGGGGCCTAAACAACTACACATACTATTTTGGGGGTTCCTAATAAATATAGTAAAATGTGCGCCAGAACCCTATTCTAATTAGTCAGGCCCTTATGTTATGACCCTCAACCCTTTACCGGTAACCCTTTCCCAAGCACAGCTCAGGTGACATGGTCTTTCAGGGCAGCTTCACCGCTCCTGTCGGAATCGCAAGCTGGCTGCACAGCCGGAGAGTGCTGGTTTAGGCTTAGGGTTTCGGGTTAGGTTTTAGGATGGTTTAGTGGTTGGGGGTTTGTTGGGAAGTCTAAACTGAATCACTGAAGCCCCTGAGCCGTATATTGTAGGGTTTCGGGTTTAGGGTTGGAGCCTTAAGCCCTAAACCAGCAGGAAATTCGACAGCCGACATGCAGAAAGTCTCGGGGTTGGGTTGGCACGGGCTCTGCATGGACAATGGTGGAAAACCTAGGCCCTGGACGCTAAATCCGCCAACCCCTAAACTTTACGTTTTGGTAGGCGCTTATTATAAAACCGAAACTAGACTCGTAGGGACCCTGCAAAATGCAGGTTTTGGCCAAGGAAGGGCCCGCACAATACGACAGCTGGGGGATGAGTCATGTCCGAAGCTGTTCTCTGAAATTCCCAAGTTCCTCAACCCGAACCCCTACCATTATCGAACCACAGGTCCCAACAACTACAGTAGGGAGTGTCGTTCGGGGCCCTGGTACATACTGGTGGTGCATGTGTAACCTTACACCCTAAACCCTAAACCCCCAAACCCTATCCCTAAACCCCTCCACCCCAAACCCTCCCTAAACCCTAAGCACTAAGCCCCCCCCGAAACGCTCAGCCCTCTTTGCAAGTAATATAGGGGCTTAAATAATGCACCCTACATGACTCTAAACCTGAACCCTAAACCCTCCTAAACCCTACTATATTATAGCCCTTAAAAGGAACCCTAATCCTACCATAAACCCTAAGTCCCGGAAGCTTTTCAGTAATTTAGACTCTCCCTTATAGAACCCCTAAAGATCCCTTAAAGGAGCCCCGAACCCCAGCGACCAAGTCGGCCCCGGGAGCCTTTAAGTAAGATTTTCCGTGAGGACTTGTCTGGACAAGTGGCAGCTGCTCGGACGTCGGCTTTGGTCGTACGGTTTTGAGTTTGGTGCTTAGGGTTTATATAGGGCTTAGGGTTTAGGGTTTTGGGGTTTAAGGTTTAGGGTCAAGGGTGTTTTAGGTTTTGGGGTTTAGGGTCTATGGTTTTTGCTTTTCTCAGGTTTGGAAATGCTTAGGGTATTGAGGGTGCAGGGATGTGCAGGGTTTTGGGATTTGCGCTAAGGGTTTAGGTTGCATGGTTTAGGCAGAAACTTGTACAAGCAGGCTTCGGCGATGGTAAAGGTTGGTAGAGGTTTTTAAAGCCTTCAGCAATCGTTGAACTCAGGCTGCATTCTTCAAAAATTATCGGATGTTTTGCTGGGTGCTTGGCTTGACTGTGCCATCTTCTTGAGAGCTTTGCGTGCGAGGGGCATGTGGGTCTGGAACCTTTGCGTTTTCCCAGTGCCCTCCGACAAATATAAGCAAGAACCGGGTTTATTATGAATCGGGGATTCCCTGAATTCCATATTCAGATCTCCAAGTGTGGATTATGGGGCCGTTGTCATTACGTGTGGCGGTTTAGGGTTTCGGGATGTTTCGGGTGTGAGGAACTCGGGCGGATTGACATGGGGTGCACCACGGTGTGATCCACAGAGAAGCCGTATGACTCGGTCAGGGTTTCATGGATATCAGCTACAATCCCCAAGCTGGCAAGCATGTACATGAATCTGCAAGAGTTCTAGGTTGTGCGGTCTCTAGTTGGTAGTGCGAGGTTACAGGTTACTGGTTTAAGCGCCCGTCACAAAACAACCCCGCTGCACTGCCCATATTAATGTACAAGAATTCAACGGTTCAGGACACTTACAGTGATGCCGGCATCAGTAGGGTCGCAGCAAAATCCTGATTGAGACAGGGTCATGTTTCGGAGGTCGACGTCACACTCTAGGCCCTCTTGAACTGTGCACTGTTCGACGAGGTGGTGACAGGGCCATCGCGCGGCGGCATCGGCTTTGAGACGGTATCCTGGCAGAGCTAGCTTGCGATGGGGTGCTTGAAGGACGGGCCCTATACCCATATACTATGAATCCCTATATGGTATATGAACCTTAAACCCTTTTAGGGCTAATTCCGTCCTTAAGGGGGAGGGTGCCGGGGAGTTTGGTGTGCGCAGGATTATTCGTAAACGCCCGGATGCAGCTCGAGGATGCAGTTTGCAAAGGTATATAGCTTGACAACCCTAAAAGCCGTACACCCTACAGTAGAAGCCAGAAACTTGGAACATCATTATCCTCATGCCCTTAAGGTAAAATGTGGGGAATCCTAGCACTAATCATCCTAAATCCATGTTCCAACTTTCTGGGGTTCACTGTAAACCCCAAAACCATGAACCTTTGGACTGGTTCCGGTTTGCGGTGCTTCGAGAAATTATATGGGTGGTTGTCAAAATTAAGGTTCCTTTTTGGGTCCCTATTATAGTACGGCACCTAATATTTAGGGTACCCAAATAGGGACCATAATTTTGACAACTACCCATATGTGGCTTCGGGTTGAAACCGAAATCCAAGACCGGCATGGCGGATCCCCAAGCCTTCACTAGGTAGGATTGTGGGACATTTGTTGTTTTCCTTATTTGGGTTTATAAGGGTCCCTATATATAAATATTCTTCAGGGTGTTTAAAGGCCAGCCCAGTTCAAGCCGCTTGCAAGGTTCCACGAACAAACCCGACACACCGGAACTTATCTGTGACAAAGACCCTAAGCCATCCTAAACCCTAAACACCCTAACCCCTCAACCTCGAAACCCGAAGAGCTCTGGACCCAGAGCACTCAACGTATAGACCTTCTAATGTAGGAACCTGATTAAGAAACCCTGGGCCTATAACCCCCAAATAGTAGGATTTATATAAGGATCCCTAATAAAGACCCAAGGTTTCTTAATCGGATTCCTAAATTATACACCTTCTATAGGTGGGTGGTTGTCAATATTAGGGTCCCTTTTTGGGTCCTTATTATAATACGGCACCTAATATTTAGGGCACCCAAAAAGGGACCATAATTTTGACAACCACCTGAATGGCTTCTAGAAACCCCCATGCTGCCTTCAAACCCATGCAGACCTTAGATCTGAGATCCCAGCGCTCCTAAATCTACCGAAAGCACCCCGACACTACAAGGGTTTAGGGTTTAAGGATTATGGGACTTAGAAACATGAGGGTTTAGATTTCGGCTGAGGCGTTGGGCTTGGCGCAGCGAGGTGCCAAAGTGCTCCTGGCGGCGCGCCCCTTCGTTGCAGAGGAAGGGTTTCGGGTTCCGTAGGCAGGATGAAGGATCCCTTACAGAAGGATTCTTATTTAGTAAAACCCCACCTACCTTCGTCCCGCCTTAGGAGCCCTGTGAGGGGTTCATTCAGATCCGTAGAGTCGTCGTGAGGGCTTTACAGTTCAGGCTGTGACGGTTTGGGGAGTTCAGGGTTTTGGTGTTCAGGGTTGAAGGCGTTCAAAGGTTACTTGCGCTCCAAAAACCTCGAAGCGGGTACAGCATAAAGATATGATATTCAATCTGGTTTTCTCTTTAATAAGACGTATAATCAAAAAATGTATGAGTATGTATATACACATATATCTATGATCCCTAAACCCTGCTCCAGTCACTTATAACGCCCCTTTATTACTTGGAGCAAAAGCGAATGGCATTGCCAGTGTTGGTCGTACCTGTAGTAGCATGGCCGGGAAGACGTTTTTGCACTACTTGCGCGGACAGAAGATCTGTTTTTCATTGTACATTGCCCCAAATCCACCTTTTCACGTTCCCACTCGCTATGTGTGCGCAGTGCAAGATCTTTTTGCCTAGAGGCGTCTCAGACCAAGCATTGAGAGCGGCCATAGGGGGCAATTGGTGAACACACACACACACACAATCTCACTGTAAAGCAGTGCAAGATCTCTTCCGCCCAGCGTACAACACCTCTTTACTCCTTACTGCTATTGCTACTGCCGCTGCCCCTGCCACTGCTCCCACTCCTACTCCTGCTCCTACTACTGCTCCTGCTCCTACTCCTCCTCCTACCATGTCGACTACTACGACGACTACGGCTATATTGTGCCGGCAATTTACCTACCACCTACCACTACCACCGCTACTCCTCCTGCTCCTGCTGCATGACAGTGTTGTTGTGGATCATGGTGGTTATGAAGATGATGATGGCCATGATAGGTTTGATAATGAGAGTGTAAAGTAAAGAATACATCAGCAGGATGAAAGTTTTGTCGCACTAAGATGTTTGCTTGGCGGAGGACTCGGAGTACGAAGAAGTGCATTTTACGTGGCCTGGCTAGCGGAGGAATTTCCATGCCAAAATGAGCATACACTGTTTTTTGTTCCGACGGAGGAATTAGTGACGTCCTTGCCAAACATCGCGACTTCGTGAAGGAGTCTATGGGGGAAAGGGGTTTGCGAGTATGTGTTAGCAGACCTACCGGATGCGACGAACTTTCGTCCTGGCGCAGCATGAATTCCAAGACCGCTAGTTTGGCCAGGCCAGCATGTGTCACACGGAGGAGGTTTTTTGGACGGGGCATGAATTCCAAGACCGCTAGTTCGGCCAGGCCAGCATGTGTCACACGGAGGAGGTTTTTTGGACGGGTGCCTACTCGTTTTTAGTCGCGGGTGAGCAGCATGAATTCCAAGACCGCTAGTTTGGCCAGGCCAGCATGTGTCACACGGAGGAGGTTTTTTGGACGGGGCATGAATTCCAAGACCGCTAGTTCGGCCAGGCCAGCATGTGTCACACGGAGGAGGTTTTTTGGACGGGTGCCTACTCGTTTTTAGTCGCGGGCGAGCAGCATGAATTCCAAGACCGCTAGTTTGGCCAGGCCAGCATGTGTCACACGGAGGAGGTTTTTTGGACGGGGCATGAATTCCAAGACCGCTAGTTCGGCCAGGCCAGCATGTGTCACACGGAGGAGGTTTTTTGGACGGGTGCCTACTCGTTTTTAGTCGCGGGTGAGCAGCATGAATTCCAAGACCGCTAGTTTGGCCAGGCCAGCATGTGTCACACGGAGGAGGTTTTTTGGACGGGGCATGAATTCCAAGACCGCTAGTTCGGCCAGGCCAGCATGTGTCACACGGAGGAGGTTTTTTGGACGGGTGCCTACTCGTTTTTAGTCGCGGGCGAGCATCAGCAGGATGAAAGTTTTGTCGCACTAAGATGTCTTTGCTTGGCGGAGGACTCGGAGTACGAAGAAGTGCATTTTACGTGGCCTGGCTAGCGGAGGAATTTCCATGCCAAAATGAACATACACTGTTTTTTTGTTCCGACGGAGGAATTAGTGACGTCCTTGCCAAACATCGCGACTTCGTGAAGGAGTCTATGGGGGAAAGGGGTTTGCGAGTATGTGTTAGCAGACCTACCGGATGCGACGAACTTTCGTCCTGGCGCAGCATGAATTCCAAGACCGCTAGTTTGGCCAGGCCAGCATGTGTCACGCGGAGGAGGTTTTTTGGAGGCGGCCAGGCCGCTGTTCCAGCATGTGTCACACGGAGGAGGTTTTTTGGACGGGTGCCTACTCGTTTTTAGTCGCGGGTGAGCAGCATGAATTCCAAGACCGCTAGTTCGGCCAGGCCAGCATGTGTCACACGGAGGAGGTTTTTGGGACATGAATTCCAGGCCAGCATGTGTCCCGCATGTGTCACACGGAGGAGGTTTTTTGGACGGGTGCCTACTCGTTTTTAGTCGCGGGCGAGCAGCATGAATTCCAAGACCGCTAGTTTGGCCAGGCCAGCATGTGTCACACGGAGGAGGTTTTTTGGACGGGGCATGAATTCCAAGACCGCTAGTTCGGCCAGGCCAGCATGTGTCACACGGAGGAGGTTTTTTGGACGGGTGCCTACTCGTTTTTAGTCGCGGGTGAGCAGCATGAATTCCAAGACCGCTAGTTTGGCCAGGCCAGCATGTGTCACACGGAGGAGGTTTTTTGGACGGGGCATGAATTCCAAGACCGCTAGTTCGGCCAGGCCAGCATGTGTCACACGGAGGAGGTTTTTTGGACGGGTGCCTACTCGTTTTTAGTCGCGGGCGAGCATCAGCAGGATGAAAGTTTTGTCGCACTAAGATGTTTGCTTGGCGGAGGACTCGGAGTACGAAGAAGTGCATTTTACGTGGCCTGGCTAGCGGAGGAATTTCCATGCCAAAATGAACATACACTGTTTTTTTGTTCCGACGGAGGAATTAGTGACGTCCTTGCCAAACATCGCGACTTCGTGAAGGAGTCTATGGGGGAAAGGGGTTTGCGAGTATGTGTTAGCAGACCTACCGGATGCGACGAACTTTCGTCCTGGCGCAGTATTCGTGATAGCCAGAAGAGTGAGACTAGTGTTGATGGTGTGCTGATGACGACCATGCCGGTTGTTGATAATTAGTGGTTGCCACTACAGTAAACATGCTTTGTTGTTGTTCCCAGTGGCTTTGGGGTGTGACACCGTTTGTTACATCTTGGGCTTCAATGTTGGTGGGGTTGGATATTTCGAGCTCATGCCGAAGGCAACGTCGAGAAGGCGGATGCTGACGCTGCCGTTATTTCACAGGACTTGGAGCAACATGTCCATTTTCGGAATCATTCCCATGTCAGGTCTGCAACACCAAAACCAGTCACCGTAACTGGTTAGCATCAGGACATTTCTGCACTAGGCTTGTTTTTTGTCAAGGAAGGACCACCGCAAGCGTTTGAGTGTGCAAAAGTGACATCAAGCCTACGAATACGTCGCCTGCAGCGGTTCATGCAAGCCCGAAGCATTGAATTTCCTCGGCCTCTTCCATCTAAGGCCCGAAGCCCTAAATCCGAATCCGTTTCAGCGCAGTCCGCACGAGTACTACTGTAGAGGCTTTAACAATCAGAGCGGGAATTCGCGATGTTTCATGCTATAAGTTGGAGCATATATTATTGCAGGGGATACATAAATGAAGCAACCCAAAGGAACAACTCTGAGATTTATTCAGGCAGCTGTTTGTCTTGGGTAGGCTGTTTGTTTTTGGCTACTATCCTATTGCATGATAGAGCAAGGTATCCCAAACGAAACAAGGCACTGCAAATCAGGGTCGGGGATCCCTAAACCCTAAACCCTAAACCCTTAACCCTAAACCCGAAACCCGAAACCCTAAACCCTAAACCCTAAACCCCTAAACCCTAAACCCTAAACCCCTAAACCCTAAACCCTAAACCATAAACCCTAAACCCTAAACCCTAAACCCGAAACCCTAAACCCTAACCGTTGAATCCAAGCGCGGGCATCCCAAAGCCTGAACTTCAAAGCCCCTACTTAGAGGACCATGGGACTTAGTAAGAAACCCTAGGGTTCCTTTAAAGGGCTCCTTTAAGGGATCCTATTAAGGGTTCTATAAGGGGGAGTTTAGGGTACTTAGAGGATCATGGGACCTAGTAAGTAGGTTATAATTGGGGTTATAAGTCCCCCAAGTGGGGTTATCCTAATTATAAGCTACTTATATCCTTACTTACTAAGTCCCATGGGCCTTCAAGTATGGGCCCCACCAACAACTCTTATAGCGGTCCTTTTGGAGCCTCAAGATCTCTGAAACCTATCTGCTCCAAGGGTAGTACCGGGCCTCAATAATCAGAATAGGGTTTGTAAAGGTTCCGTAGAATGGGAATACACCCAAGATCCTATTCTCGTTTATACGGCCCATTGACGGGAACTTCACAAAAAGCCTTCAAAGGGAATCCTAACCTGGGCCCCATAAAAATCTGTTTTCTGGGGCTCCCTGTTATGATTTCCTTCTATAAGTTCTTACAAAGGTAGGTCCCATAGTAGGAAAAAGGGTACCCTTGCTACGAAGGAGCCACTCCTAGGTAGGTTAGTTGGGGTTAAGGAACACCCTAAGCCCGACGGGCGACGGGTCCTCCCGCTGTTTCGGGAAGGAGGCCGATATCAAGGAGAAGCCGCAGGCCATTTTTTAAGAATTACCTGTAAGGCTCTTTTAAAGGGTGCATATTCCAAGGGTCTATAAGGATAAGTATAGGGGCAATTATGGGGGTTTAGATGGGTTTAGTATAGGGGCTTAAATAATTACCATGTTATTTTGGGGGATTCCTTATTCTGGTTATATGAAGTATAGTATACCCCAAAACCCTATTCTAATTATTAAGGCCCCTATAGTAGGGTTCGTTTACGGCGTCATGAACAGGTTTAGGGTTTTGGGTTTTTGGGGTTTTTGGATTGAGGGTTTTGCAGTTTGAGGATTTGGGGCGTTGAGGCTGAGATTTCATTGTTGTACTGGTGCGTGGCGAGCGATCTTCAGCTTCAGGCGGAAAATGAGGTTCAGGGTTCAGGGCTTAAGATTGTCAGAGTTTCGGATGCTCAGTTAGAACGTAGCCAGATGCAACAGAGTATGACGCAAGTTACTTAAGAACTCATGGGACTTAGTAAGTCATAAAGTAGGTTATGATTAAGATAGCCCCACTCAGGGGACTTACAACCCCAGTTATAACCTACTTACTACGTCCCATGTTCAAGTAGAACAGCCAGTTTACGGGCAGCCCTTGCACCAGGTATCCTGGTTTAGGGTTTTTGGGTCCTTACTCAGTCGCCGAAGCTTGCGGGGGAACACCAGACAAGAAATAAGATGGGAGTTTCCGAAAATAAAAGACCCTAATACAGTACCCTAAATAGTAGGATCCTTACTACAAGGACCCCAGCATAAAGTACGCTTTATCTGCGGAAGCTCCCATATGTGGGCCTTCGAAGCCCCTTCATGAAGTAAGTTCAATTCTAACCCGTGCATCCATCTAGGGATTTGTCATCGGAGGTGTATTCTGGGCTTAGCGTGTTCGAATCTGTCGGCCCTCGACTGACCATCGTTACCGGAAGGTTCTGATGATGTCACGCAAGTTGAGCACGTGTTGTTCGGCCGCGACGTCGGCCCGGAGCTTCCGTTGGATCTGGTTGCCGTTGATCCCTAGGCACAGGAAGATTTCGCCTTCACAGTTGCGCAGGACGTAATCAACAGCACCAACGTGTTGATTACTGATGATGCCGCGTTGGAAAAGGAAGCTGATGAGGGCATCGCTACCGTATGGGAGGATACTGCCCCTGCTCCGGCATCGGAAGATGACGCACTCGAAACTCTAAACGGGACGCCTGCAGATGATTCGTGGACTATAGGCTTTTCAGAAATTTTCGGTTTGGAGAAGGATCCTAGGGGAATATGAAATTTGGTCTAGAGCACGCGAGATACAAGAGGTCTGTGGCCTCCAATCCAGGCAGACTCGTGAACTGTAAGCCCCCTGAACCGCTACAAGTACATCCCCTAGACCCAACCCCTTAAATCCTAAGCTCTAAAACCGTAATGGCCCTAAACCATAAACCTTAATTACACTTTAAACCCTAGACTCTTCAACCGTAAGGTTTCTGGACCCTAGTTCGTGTTGCGACCAACCCTGCGGTCCCCTGTGCCGCAGCGTCAACAAACCTTTCAGCCTTTGACAGAGACCCAGAGACTTTAACTTACCAATGTTCCTTTGAAGAGAACGTTTTATATGGTTCCTTAATATTTGATCCTTAGTTCGCTTTCGAGAAACCCTGATACAAAAAGACACCTGCCGGCCCGACCTGCCAGCCCGATATCTCTGACAGGTCACGTATTAGTATTTCATAACCCCCCCAAAGCCCTAATCTATTCAAC